AAGAGGGGTTAACAATTATGCCACATCTAATAAATATAATCCGATTAGTCCCCAATTGGAATCCACAATGTTATGCGACGACATTGTATCAACATTGAAACAATGTTCACCTTCAACCCTCAACATTCGCACACTCAATCCACATCCAATTCATGTTGATTCAATGTTCTGTGTTACCTGGGGAGGCCTACACTAATCTTGCCCGACCCATTCGTATCGAGGAACTTCTCGGCCCATCTGACCGAGAATCCTTCTGCCTTAGCCTGACGCGCTAGGACTTCGGCCTATGCCGTTGGATCATGGGCGAAGGGAAGGACACGAGTTGACGCGAACCAGTCTGCTTGCAAATGCGAATGGGTTCTATTTATTTTTCTGGCAGGGAAACGGTAGAAGATGTTCCATCGACATTTCGGGTATCAGGTGGCTACGTCTAATCCACTTACGGACGCTTAGGCCGATGCTATGCGCTCTTCAACGAAACGGGAAGGTATATCTATGGGCTGCATTAACGGAATGACGCGTTTTTTCATAGACAACTGTATGGAAACTTTAGAAGAGTTTGACAAAGGGACTCCTATAGAGTCCTTGATATGAAGATAATGAAAGAACTCCCAATACAATGAACATAGTCTATAAAGAATTATTGCGTTAAAACTCTCAAGTGGCTTATGTGGTTCATAAGGCTGCTACTTTTTTGGAGATTGTTATGCAATCTCCAAACCGTAGGTCGACCGTAGGCAGGAATTGAATACACCAATGGAACACTAAACGACACACTTAGAATTGCTACTTGGTGATCCTCATGCTACAAGTGACAAGGCGTCACTAAGAGTATGTTCTGAGGCACCTTTATTTTAAAGGTGAGAGAATTGAATCCATGAACAAGGGAGTTTAACCGCATTGGTAGGAGCCCTAGTAGCACATAACATTGAAACAACATGGATTCAATGTTGATTCCACATCCAGATGTATCAACATTGAATCAATGTTGATTCAATGTTATGTGCTACAATGGAGTGAGCATCGAAAACGGTTGCCTTAGATCGCACAGCGCCGAATGCGCCTCCATAGCGAGTTTTTTTTTGCCCCAAAGGGCAAACAAACTCGCTAGTATTGTATATTCTCTGAAAATTAAAAGGATATAATCAATGTCCAAGTATAGGAAGGGGGTGAATTTGTACCGGATGATCGACAGTGGGCAATGTCATAAAGTTTCACTGTCGACTAATGCTTCGTAGTGTCATCATATTTCATTCAAACAAGCTTTGATCTGTTTCACCAAACTGAGCATTCCTTTTCCTGTGAGTTCGGTTATCAAGATTGATATCGAGTATCGATGACTTCTACCTTAATTTATTGAGTCGTCTGGGGCTCGTGAGAATTGGAATTTCCTTAAAGAAGCAGCAGATCAAATGTCCTCCTCCGTTATCTGCTGAGAAGTCGTTTTGAAAAATTCATGAATTCATCGGTTGAAAACTAGGAAATAATAAAGGTGAGATCCCACACCCTTAAGGGTGTGCAAGCTTTTTCACCGGACAGCCACCCCAAAGGTGAGCACGATCACCATGAAACTAGGGTGAGAATGCACACCGTGGTGTCCACCCCCCATGGTGGTTGTATGGCCACCCTCGGGTGCAAATGCCTCACCTTCTATTCAAGATAACATCCATTTTTTGAACGGCAACACACGCCATTCGCATGAAGCCCAGGCGATACATACAATCTCTTCGGAAATCCATTAAGTCCATCTTCCAGTCACATCCCTGGTATTGCATACGCACCCTTAGGAGACTCATTCTCATCCTTCATGTGTTACGCAATCCTTCCATGTAGAGAATACATTTGGTATTATTTTCTATAAATCTCTATTCGACTATATTTCCAATTCTAATGATGGGTCTGTCCACGGTGTCGGATGTGACATCCGGAGTAATATTTTTAGTATAATGTATTTAACTATATTATGGCAGACAAATCAGCATATAAATTCCGTAAGAATTTGCTTTGGGTGGTGACTGAAAATTCCATAATTCAAAGTCTTGCACTCTCTTATGTTAGATGTGTACTATGTGCAAAGAAAAGTGTCGGACGTGACATTTCGTGAACCTCAAGTTTACGTCACTTACACTAATGTTCATATATCCGTCATCGAGCGGATCCTAATGATTTAGTTTAATGTCCATTCTAAAGATGGAATGAACGCCTGGAATTAGTGTAAGTAACCCCAAGATGAGAACAATTGAAACAGAAAATTAGCCTTAGTATTTTGTGACGGTGTCGGATATGACATGTTCTGAAAATGTATATTGAAACGAGAAGTCTGTACAAACATATTTATTTTATTTTAAATATATCATTCAAATGTGAACAATTGACATTACTCTTCACACCTGAGCTGATTTGAAATTATCAGTATGCATGGAAAGCCCATGCTGGCATCTCTTCCAGTAGTCTCTCCAGATGTGCATTTTCATCACATTTTTGAATATCATGAGAGTGGCATGAATAATATATCATAATTATGTCTAATTCTTTCATTTTTCAATGTAATATTCTCTTTCGCTTATGTCTTCTAGGAAAAGAGATGATGAATTTCTGTAGCGAAAGTGAAATGTGCATATTTAGGAAACTTTCCGGCTAAAAATCTAGGACCACTTGCCGTGAACAGGCCATGATGTATTGATGATACCTTTTACTCTGTAAGAGTTCCAAAACGACATATTTATGACCATTAATGCGTCTAATAGTGTGTGGACGGATACCTAATTCCTCCCCTCTCCCTTAATGCACCCTTGTATGTCTAGTACATGTCCATTTCCGTGTATATTTCCATGTGTGGAAACAGACGCTAATGGAAACGGTTACGAGATGCGTTCGTTTGTGGGAACTTGCCCACTATATGTTCGACAATTTCGTAACGGACTTGACACGTCTTTCCTCCTTTCGGAAACTGGGTATTTATGTTTAATGTTTTTTCTTTGCCATTAACATCGAAGCGTTACCAATATGTTAGCTCACACCAACCTCGAGACTAGCTAACTTTTTTTCACAGATTTGTCGCATTAAGTTCCACTGCAAGAAAAAAATAAAGACGATCGGAACCCATCGGATCCCGAGCTGTTGACCTGATCTCCGCCCCAACGGGAGCCCACAAACCGTCACCTTCCCGAACCGATGACACCTTCATACGGAGACCTCTGTACGAAGACCGTTTTGTCCCATTTCTCGTTCGGGTCGAAAACGTCCGGGACCACTTCGTCCGGACATACTGTACACCATCTGCTCGATCCCACGGGGAAACTTCCCCGAACAGGATCTTTCGTCATTCCATCGTCTGCCGGTTCCCACACGCGCGATAGCCGCCACATTATCGACAACGAAATGAGATACGTGGATCCGAAAGAACGCAGTTTCGGTTTCGCTTCCACCCGACTATGCAACCGTGGCTCGTCGTCCTCGCTCTTCCCTTTTGCCTGCATTCGGCCTCGTCCAGGGAATCCAGAACCTTCCCATGTCCCGAGCACGACGCAATTCTTCCCTGCGTGTGCAACCATGAAGCAGCCATCGACGAGGTGCACGTGGACTGCTCGGAGGCGACCACGAGCACTCAGATCTTAACAGCCTTCCACGAAGGATTTTGGCCCTTCGACAATCTCACGTAGGTGATACGATGAAAACGTATCTCCGATGCTTCGGGTTAAACTGAATATTTCAGATCGAACCCAAGCGATGGTCATATTTTATACGAGCCATGACTTTGGAAGTTACCCGTGACGAGCTACTTTCTAGCGACGTATCACTAGATCAATACGAATTATTTTCGTAAAGATTGACGAATGGAGGCCAGGTAGAATTTTCAGACAATTTTTGAAAAAATTTATAGAAGGCATGACTTTTAACACGTACCCAGGTAATACATCTATGTGGAAACAGCATTGAAACAATATTTCATGGCAACATTTATAATGTTGAAACAACATTGAGATACCACATTGATTCAATGTGAAAATGTTATTTTGTCAACATTGCTTCAGCATTCCTTGTTAATGTTGAAACAATATTGATGACAACATTAATTCAACATTCCTCCTTTAATCGAAGTGGAGATAAATTAATCAAAATGAATCGCATTCCCTATAGATGATGAACTATATATACTAAAGAGGATAAAACCTTCAGTTTTATAGATCAGTACCAACAGAGTACTGAGAAGCTTGAGAGGATGGGTCCTATTCAGTTATGCAAACAGTATCGAAATTCTGTGTGCTTGAAGAGCTTGCAAAATGAGGGAAAAAACCCTAAGCTTCTCTTTTCGAAGATTTGTGAATAGATCACTTCACGTTACTTCTATGAGTGCTCAACATGTCTCTAATCGCCTAGATGTCTATGCGCCCGCACTAAACCAAGACATTTAATTTGCTTCAGAATAGAATACTGCAATAGAACATTATAATTCCACATTTCTCTAATATATATGTTCATATGTGTAGTCCTCATCATCTGCCAAACGTGACATGGTACTAATGGTTTCATTTTTCGTTATTAGAGATGTAAAATTACCGGTAAGGTAGAGGCCATTACTTACCGGTAATTTACAAGTAATTTACCTGTGATTGCCGGTATTTTACCGATATTACCAATAGGTTACCGTTACTCCAAAAGTGCCATATTGAATTTTTAAAATTTAAATTCCCAATATCCTCTTTCATAAGCCATATTACAACGTCCCATTTGTGAAATATTGAGTGAGACAAGCTTTGGCAGAGAACTACGGATGTGGATACCGCGTCAGTTAGTGGATCTTTTTGTTTGAAATTCTAAGCAGCAAAACAAGTAAAATCTGGAAAATGCTTAAAAAGTATAAGTAATACATGATGCCCGGAAAAGAATAACCCCTGTACGTTCATGGGTTTTTCAGCAACCAGGAGACTAAACTTCGTAAAATTTGATAAAATAGAGTTAAAATTGTCAGGAAACTTATTAAAATATTATGCGGATCAGTTTGACCTGAACCCTGATTCATATCATTTAATGAAATGATCCCAAAATTCGGCCAAACAATTTATTTTATCACCCCAGTTCAAACAAAAACAGAAACAATCATTACAAATAAGGAATAATCAGCGCATTAGTTCATCTTTGGAGACAGTGAACGAAGTCGTTGAAAACTTTCCAAAGAGGCTTAAGGGAAAAATAAACGCCTGTATATTAAACTGAGACATTTAGTATTGTAAATTTACAGGGCAAATGTACTTAGGCGTAAATTTGACGTAACGAGATGAATTTGGTTTCCTGGTTGCCGAATTTCTTGACAACCAGGAAACCAAATTGCCTAAAAAAAATGGGATGAAAAGAGTTCAATTAGTCAGGAAACACTCCTTAAAATATCAGGCGGATTGATGTTGTAGGATTCATAATTTGTCATTTTGTAACCATCGTCAAATTTTTGGCGTAAGTACAACTTTTGCCCTGCAAATTTACAGTACTCAGCATCTCAGAAAAATACACTATCGTATATTTTTCGCTAAATCGTAAAAAATATATCCTTATTCACTCACAAATTTCGGAGTATACAGGGTGCGGTAAAAATACCTTCACTAAATCAAGTAATGAAATAAATTATTGAAATGAACAAATTTTTACAACCAGTGAGAACAAAAACAGTTTACAATCTCGGAATCGCAGCAGAATCATATGTTTTCAAAATTACCACCTCCGTTTCGATGCGCTACTTGAACCTCTTCAGAAAGTTGTCAACGACTTTGCTCACCGTCTCCAAAGATGGATGAACTAATGCACTGGGAGTTCCTTGTTTTTATTGATTGTTTTTGTTTTTTTTTGTAATAAGGTGATAATAAGAACCGTCTAGTCTAATTTCGGGATCATTTCATTAAATGATATGAATAAGAGTTCAGGTCAAACATCCGCTCAATATTTTAATAACTGTTTTCTGACTATTTGAACTCTGTTCAATCAAATTTTTCGGCAGTTCAGTCTCCAGGTTGCTGAGAAACTCACGAACGTATAAGGGTGCATTCTTTTCCGGGCATCCTGTATTACTTATACTTTTTAAGCATTTTCCAGATTTGGCTTGTTTTGCCGCTTAGAATGTGAAAAACAAAAAGATCCACTAGCTGTCGCGGTATCCACATCCGTAGTTTTCTGTCTCTCTCAAAATTAAATTTTTCGTGCTATCAGGAATGTCCATGGTATTGGCAGTCAAATGTACGAGGGTGGTTCCACTTCATATCATGCAGTCCCATAGTTTCCGTGTCCGGTCATATATCTTCGGCTTAAAAAAGAATATGGGTGAAGGTGGGGCAAAATGGGGCGAGGATCTAAACGAGGCAACGCAGATTTTAACCAAACCATACTAGAAAACTATGAAACTATTTCCCCTATTATAACCGCCTACGACCGGTGCTAGTTTTCAGGCACTGCGACGCTCTCTGAGGTAGTTTGTAAATACACAAGGAGAAAAACAAGAAAAGCATAGACTTTTCTTATTTTGTTTCGAATTTTTCATGAGCGAAAAAAAGTAACATGGGAATATTGGAGGCATTTTATATTTTTTCTGCTGAAGGTGAATATATGAACTATTACAAGAAGTCATAATTTTTTGCAATGCTCATTCATCTTTCGTTTGAGAACTTCTTAATTACAGGCGGCGCTGATGGGGGAAAACGGCATTACGGTGATGGGACAAAATGGGGAGGTATAGCGGCTACACATATAGGGTAAACTCCCCAGTTTGTGGCCACGTAAAACCCTGGTTTTTTACCACGCTGATACCCATTGGAGGTGGAAAGCCTGCTCGTACACCAGGAGACACTAGTAATAGGTCCTTGTACCGGGTGAAGTTTATGGAATGCTTGAAACGATCAGATTTACTAATTATGCTGGATATAAGCCTCACTGGCCAACAACTGGAGACCGGCCAGGCTGTACCCTACATTCTCCTTTAGCTGGAATATCCATTTCATTGGTGAGGCAGGTGCGATGGGCTACTGTTCACATTCTTTTTCTCGCTCAAAATGGAGTGAGGTCAACGGAATTTGGCTGACAGCTCTGCTGGCATCAATGACGACACCGATGAGGACGTGTTTTTCTGTGACATCTGGCAATTTGCATCTATGATGAATACATGGATAACAATTTAAACATAAACAATGGTTTTGCCTTAAAAGTTTCATTATTGTTTCGTACTGTAGCCTTAGTAAATAGGCATTTATTGAAAATATGAGGGGAAAAGCATGGTTTAATTGTATTAATAGATATTTCATTGCTGTTTCTGTTCTTTGACCTTTGCAAGTAAGAATAAAAACTTGGGGAAAAAAGAAAGCATCTGTTTGTAATTTGTGGATGTTTCGTTGTGGTCTCTGTTCCGTGAACATGAATAGGACAATAGGCATGAAATTAAGACACCGTGATACATGTGGAAAATCATTAATTGGATATTTGTAGATATTTCATCGATATTTCTGTCCTGTGACCTAAGTAAGGATCTAATATATTAATATATTTGCTTCAATCAAACCGAGAGACATGGAAAGCTGAGATATGGCATGGATGTGCCTACTGAGACACGCAATTCAGGAAAATTGTCAAGTTTCAGATGCTTGCCCCAGGGGCATATTTCTAAGGGCCACGTTTTAAAAAAACTTTTGTCCTACTGCATTGAAAAGGAATAGAAAACTGAAATTTGGCACACCAATAACTGAGATGTTGAGTTCATAAACAATAAATGTTTGTGGTGCATGCCCTAAGAGCACAGCTATTGGCTGAGTTCGCAATTCGAATGATATTTTTGCACCAGCAAAAAGAGCAAACGGATGAGAGTGATCCTTGCTAAGCACGTAGTTCTCCCAGAGCTAATTTCAGTAAAAATGTTAATATTTAGGTGAAACCCCTCGGCAAATTTTTTGCAAAAGACACATTTTCCAGAATCCTTTTTGATTCAATGAAAGAGAGATCTAAAGAAACTTGAAACTTTGAATAATCGGAGTAAGAATTTTGATGAAAATTCTCTCTCGGCGCCCATATTGACAGACACAAACTTTTAAGACGTTTTAGTTAAATCAGTTAAAGAAAGAATATCACTAACTTGGAAAATGGAGCGCAGGTATATGCAGGTATTGAGGGCGTATGGATTCAGGGTGGGGGCACTATTTCTGTTGGGGACTTTTTAAAAAATTTTGCCTTGGGGAAACTGATTTTTACATAGGACTGGTATTAACGAATGCAAAGAAAATCTTCATTTTGTTGTACGCACCCCCAGGGCATATATTTTGGTTGCAAAAAGTTATCAGAATTTTCGCCTCCATTAGAGGTTTTTTGTTCATGGGGGAGAATGAGTAAACCCAAAAGCGCAATATCGCTTAGAGAAAGCTAGTTTTCATAGTCTGGCTATAGAATGCCCTGTATTGAGGATAAACTTTTAACACATTTGCTGCTAATGTTTTTATTGAGCGTACGCTTTGCACATATGTCGCATTTTTTGCGCACAATTCTTTTATTAAACAAATGATTTGTATGTAATTATTTTCATATGCCTATTTTTATGAGTTGAGTTTCATGTAGGGAAATCATTCTGAAAGCCATTTGCATGTTGTTGTTAACAATTCCACTTAAATTATTGTAACCAATTGTGAACAAAAT